TGTGTGTGTGTGTGTGTGTGTGTGTGCGTGTCTCTCTCTCTCTTTTCCTGTTTTTTTTTGCCCGTCCATGTGTGTGTACTGTGCTAAGTACGCTTGTTTTTTCTACGTGACTGATGGCGGGACATGTGGGAACTTCTGTGGAACATGGTAGCTACTAAATAGAAAGCCGGTTAGATGCTGTAACTGCCCTTGAGGTGGGCTGGATTCTGGAGAGGTGTTGAAACGGTGTAGAGGTTAGGCACAACGCAAAATGGTGAGAACACACTGTAAATACGCAATAGGGCTTTACAGGAACCCACTGCGCATGGATACAAGATTATACAACTCTATAGAATTCCGGCGATGCGGAAGACGAGCATAGAGAGACGATCTGTCAGCCATGTTGTTGTTGAAAGGGCGTTCTAAGGCTGAGTGCGAAGCGGTCTTTTAACTGCATTCGATGAGCTGTGAGCACCTCGTGCTTGTTAATGTTGGATCTTTTTCGAAATCGAGACACGTAAAGTTCGTAAACGACATACCAAACAGTGACACAAACTGACGGAAGGACAATCAAGTCAACAAGACCTCCTATCAGGCAGAATCTTAATTGTGATCGGAGTCTGTGCAGAATCATGCTGCGTATGGGGGATAATGGAGCCGCTGCTGCTGCCGAGAGACCGACCGTATTGTGCACGGGTATCATGCAAACACGTTTTTACTCTTTGAACGGACAGCCAGCCAACACGAGGAGGGAAGGAAAGATGAACAAGGGAGATGGCGTCATGAAGAGGAGACATGAAGCAGAAGTAAGCAGCAGCATGTCCTATGTCGAATCTGTCGATGGAGTCTGGACTCTTTTATTGTGTTAAGAGAGGGAAATAACTCGAATCTTTTCTTTCTTTCCCCTGAAGCTTGTTGGCATGATTGAAAGCTTGCGGTTTGTATCAGTGTAGCTCCCCCCCCTCCGTCTCTTTGGAGAGAAGAGAGCCCAGTGCCAAGGCCGAATGACAACGAGAAACAGGAACGGGCGTGCCCCTTCTCAACAAGGTGGGGGACTCTTGGGAATGAGACCGGGCCACGGGCCTAGCTTGAACCCGGGCTGCCCGAAAGTTGAAATTGTAACAGAGTTTCGTAGAGTCTGCAAACAAACCGTCTTTTCCATGATGGCCTAATTACACCAACTATCTGCATAACGACTGCATAACGAGCATTCGTTTATTTCCCTTTCTTCTGCGCTTTTTTTTTTTGCCTAAATAGTAAATGACACCCAAAATTGGCTGCTGATGTTTTCGAAGAATGTTTCCCGTTGTTTTTGGTAAGTGGGCAGTTTTGTTTTGCCTTATCTCCGTTGGTGATGGCCCCTTTACTGAAACACATCCATCTAAAAGGGGAGCGTGATGCGATCATAAGAGATTTTGGGTATCTACCTTCCTCCGAATACAGCATACGGCTGTTAATACTTATTATTGAGACTGACAGTTACCCCAAATACAGCCACAATGACTGTACGTTGGCTTCGGGTGAAGCCGGTAGTAAACAGCGACTTGACAATTACGACAATTGGTCCCGACCAGTGTCTACCCCGCGAACGTGACCGGGGACCGGTCGGTGGACGGTGACCCGACCGGGGGCCGGTCAATGGACGGTGACCGGCCTATGATGCTGTGCCCGTGAACGGCCAAAGTGGCCAAACCATAACAGCGCGTTTCTCCTCCTCCCCCCCTCCTTCCTCCCTCCCCACTTCAACGGTGCGCCCTGTCACCGTTGCCACGAGCCCCACAACGTCATGACATTTAAAAAACAAAAAAATTGATATAACCTATAAAGTTAAGTGAATATAACCTATAAAGTTAAGTGGAAACCAGCAAACAAAAATGCTCATCCTGGCCGGTTTCCTGATGTTATTCATCTTTTTCAATAAAATGATATTCGTGATAGAAAAATATTGGAAAAATTAGGGGAGGGCACCCTCCGATGACCCCCACCCTCAAAAAAAAAAGGAAAGGCCAAAAAAAAAAAAAAACCCTTTCCACCCCGTGACTGCTGTGACTGCCCGCCGGTCAGGATTTCTGTAACCAGTGACCAGGGCCCCGTTACATGTACCCCCGTTCATGAACGGGGGTACGGAACTGGGCCTGACAAGTTAGGGATAGGGGTGTTGTGCATGCCCATGGGCCATGGTGTTATGTGTTTGGGTGGTGTCACATCTATGGGCCACCAGTTATCATACATGGTTGTCCACAGACTCCATGCATCTTGGTCGGCGGACATATCTGGAGCAGGAGGATGATATTACCAGTTTGGGCGAAGTAAACTGTCCCTCTTTCTTTTTCTTTTTTACCTACCTTGTTGTTTTTTTTTCCGGATGTTATACTGTCGGTCCCAATGATTGTGCAGTGTCTGCACACTGGCTACTCTGGCAATGAATGGGTTATTTCAGAGAGCGAGTTGTGCCGGCCAATCCTGTCCTCCCCCGAGTATAACGCACCGTCTTATGCTTGTATCAGACCGCAAAGATAGCTTATATATCGTCACAAACAGGACTGCCCGGTAAACTGTAGGCATATGTTCATGATGAGGGTGTGTTGCGTTCGGGGGGAAGAACTTCAATTAGCGTGAATAAGGGAAGGGAAAGGGAAAAGGAGGGAGCAGAGTACAGCACGCCCACCAGAATCTGAGTCTTTTTTGCTTTGTTTTTTTTTTCTTCCTTTTTTTTATTTCGTCCTGCTGCCTCCTGCCGTTTTTTCTAGCACAAGGGTTACTCCAAACTTGGTACGTTGGCAAGTTATGCCAAGTTAAGGGTTTACCTGGAAGGCTGGACCACGGGAGTCCCGACCCCCATTGGTCCCCCAACATGCCTGTTTTGAATAGACTAGAGATTGTTGAGAAATTGCCAATTTGAAATGAATCTCGACTTCGATGCACACACACCGATGAGTGATAGTACTATTGCGAGTCGATTGGGGCTCAAACAGACTCGTAAAGAAGTTTTGAAAGGCAAAGAAGATATATTTTATTGCCATACGGCGGCATTTGTTGAGGGGTGATGCAGAGAAAGAATCCCCACGCACTGCATGCAGTGATCCGATATTACTGGCACGTCGGCTCACCAAGATCTGATTCACTTGAGGTTGGAGCAAAGGCGGGAAAGGAACTTAAACCACCAGCACCCCAAGGGGTCTTAGGCCCCCTCTGGGGAGGCTCTGAGGCAAATGCACATGGACCTGCATGGCGCACCGGTTCAGTCACGGCGGTAACGGCCTAAAAATGTTGAGGTACTGGTGGTTGTAACGAAAGATGGGTGTGGGCAAGGAGGCAGTAACGGCCTAAAAATGTCGAGGTACTGGTGGTTTAAGTAACGAAAGATGGGTGTGGGCAAGGAGGAAGATTCAGAAAAATGAAGAGAGAGAAGAGAGGGAAAAGAAGACAGCAGCGATTGACAATGCGAAGATGGACGACGAAGGGCGGTCAAAAGATTGCAGGCAGATGTGTGCAATGCCTGTATGGAGAATGCGAATGCGCTGCAAGCGAAAAAGGCGCAGAACGAGTTTGCCAACTGCCAGTGACAGTGGGACGTAATACCTAAAAACAACAAATTCGAAATCGAAAAATCTAAAAAAAAATCAGGTGTGCTTGCTAAGGCGGGCAAAAGGCCCATCTTCATTCCCGGTTTTTTTTGTGTTTTTTTTTTCCCTCTTTTCTGTTCCTGTTGATACCTATCTCAGGCTATCTGTCCTTTGCCGCAAATGAAAGCACCAACAAATACCGAGGGGCCAGGGCATATCCCAAATTTGCACGAACTTGTGACCAAAGCAAAAATTCAAGCAGATAATCCGACCTGAAAGGGAACATGCAGATGATGCTGGGGAGACCATAGATACCTCAGTCAGTGACATCGCCAAAGACAAAGCCTGCAGAACGCGTCCGGATTGCAAACGATGAAAAATGAAAAATAGTATACAACCCCTCTAAAAATGAAACAAGCGTGGAGGGGTAAGGAAATCCCCGCAGTGCCAAATGGCAATAGCTGGCTTGTCACAACTCTGGACAAAGGCTGCCCAAGACCTGATAGGCTGATCCACGCTGCACAAATCAAGATAATCCTGGTCATTCGTAGAGGCAAGCCCCGAGCAAAGGCTCTCTCTCTCTCTCTCTCTCAAGGCCATTCCAAGTTCATAAAATTCATGTGAGTTATACTCTCTCAGAGTCTCTCTCTTCTCGGCGCTCTCTCTCTCTCTCTCTCTCTCTCTCTCTGTGTGTTCCTGGTACTCTGTTCTGTCATTGCACTTCCAAGTTGCAGATTCACTGATAGAGAGGGTATGGACATGCTTACGTTTTCCAAACATGATGGTAACATGATGGTAATCTGGCCAAGGGTCCGGCGCCGGAGCAGCGGCTCCAGCCCCAGGTTTTCTTACAGTGCATAATGCCTTGCTTTCGAGATGCTGCTAATGAGATGGAGTAAAGGAAATGCTTAATGACAACTGACATTGTGCAAAGCACACGACACTGTTGCATCAAACAAACTCCACGACATCCCCACCAGGTTCGAAAGGTAGAGGAGTTGGCGCCAGACACTGCCAAACAAGGAATAATGCCTGGCATTTGTGTCGTGGCCGTGGGTTTTCCCACCAGCTCGGAAGGGTGCTCCCCTGCACCCTAACTTTGTGTGGTCCAATCTTGTTGTGGAGAGATGGATGAATCCTCCCCACCAATAAACTGGAGCGATTAGGAAGCCAGCTAGGAGGGGGGGTATGGCACTTATTCCCTCTCCTAGGAGTCCTAGCTGAGCAACTGGCTTTGTTTTTTCTTCCTTAACTTTTTTTTTTTAAAGAAGGAATTGTTCCAACTTCCAAGCTTTCTTACGTGGTGAATTTGCTGCCTTGCGAACTGCGATCGCCGGACAACTCAGGCATACGCCACATAACGATCCCAAGCTCGGATTTTCCCACCCCCTCACCCACACCCTCACCCTCACCGTAAGTTTATGTGGTCCAATCCTGTTGTGCAGAGATTGTCCCAAGCCGGCCCACGCGGTTGCCCTGGAAGGCTGCAACCATATGTGTTTATTCAAAGTTTCTACACCTTTTGTAGCGGACACACGAGGTGTGGTGCTCCGCTAGTGGTAGAGATAGAGATGGAGGAAGAAGGGCAGAGCGAGATGGCACAACGCAGCTCCCCACGCAAGACTCCAATGCACGTACTCCAAAATGTGCAAGTGAAGAATGCCCCCGAAAAACAGACAATGGCTGGGGTATACCCCAGCAGATTGACGGACTGGACTGGACTGGCTGGTACCGACAGAGGTACCGGCCTGGACCGGACTGGACTGCCCCCGAATAGAACACAGGCCTGTGAGAACAGGCCAAGTGGCTGGTCTCACAGGCCAACCAGAAGTCCGCTACACGGTCCTCGGCCTGTGATGGATCGCCTAGATACAAACACGCTTCCGCCAAGAAGCGGAACTCTACCAAAGAAAAAGAAAACCTGAGTAATCTAGGATGAGGAGCAAGCTCCATGCTGAGTCCATGTGATGCAACCTAGTCTAGAAAATGTCACAAAACAGCAATGTCACAACTAACAGCCTAAGTGAAAGCAGAAGCAACTAACTAGCATATATGTCCTAGGAAAGCATAAGCCACTAACTAACATACATGTCCTAGGAAAGCAGAAAGTAGTGACAACTAGATCCTAGAATGTTGGAGGCAGTAGCCTCAGTCTGGGAACAATTGACTAGTGTATAAGTCCTAAGAACAGCAAAAGGAGAACAACTAAATCCTAGAAATGTCAGAGGCAGTAGCCTCAATCTGAGAGCAACAAGCAACAACAAAACTACCATATGTCACAGGAGGAGTGTGTCGCAAACCAAAGGGTGGGATGGTCTCATAGGGTGGCAAATGCAGCCTAGGGGTCGAAAACTCCTAAGGGCATCCACACAAAGCGACAGGGAGGCACATGTCATCAGGCTCAATAAGGGTAGGGATTTGAGAGCGAACGGCACCAATGACCCTAACAGATAGACCATCAGGGCGGGTAAAGCTCGACTAAGGGGTAACCGCTATGGAGGGTCGACCATGCAAGGGAACAAGGGAGCCTAGCATACTGGGCGCACCTAGATGAAGAATGCGGGGCTGCCTAACTAAGGTGTGAGGGCCGGCAGAGGGTAGAAAGGTGATGGGTAAGGGAATCATGCAAATGACTCCAAAGTGAGGGAAGTCGAAGCTAGATCCGTAAGATGGGAAGCCAGGGTAAAGCTACAGTCCCAACTCAGAGGAACCCGGCTAAAGGGAGACCATCATGCGACACAAGCAGGGTACTGTACAGGGTAAAGTGGTTAGAGAGTGGCGACGTCTGAAGTACGCAAAGCTGATCGTGACGAAGTCCATGAAGCTGTCGAGATGACGTCCACGATGAGAAGTCTGGAATGCCGTCGAGGAAGAGCCGCAACGTCGACAAGCTGAAGTAGCAAAACTTATGTGGATGGAGTACTGAGAAGTCAAATACTTGGGAAGGTAAGTCAGAGTCAATCCTCGTATCTAGCAGGACGACGACGAGTGCATTGTGGACGCTCAGAAGCATTCGGCTGTTGCTGAAGGTCTGCCTCAGATGGAGCAGGCTCGACTTCAACGGTCTCCTCAGTCGGGGGAGAAGGAGGAGGGTCAGTGGGCTGAGGAGGAGCAGTGAGCCCAGCACGACGAGCACGGTCATCGGAACGCACCAACATGCGAGCCTGCTGCAAGTGCTCAAGGGGTTCCCAGGTAGCCTCCTCATCAGGGTGACCCTTCCAACGTACGACATACTCGACGTGGGGAGGGTTGTCGTCGGTGACTCGGCGGCCAATGATGTCTAAAACGAGGAACTCCTGTATTACCGTTTGAACGCCGTGAACGCGCGTTCGCATTCAAATGTGCGTTTGAACGTGGATTGCCCGTTCGCGTTCAAAATTGAACGGCGTTCAACTATTTTTTTATTTAAAAAAAAATATATTTTAATGCCTAAAAATAACTTTTTTTTTTTTAATGAGTTCTGTATGATGCGAGGGACATTCCTCTCAATTTAAGAGTCATTTTGCTAAGGCAAAAAAAAAAAAGAAATCGCCAAAGATGGCGGTGTCAAATCGTGTTCGCTCACTAATTTCAATTTTTTTTATTTTTTTTTTTCTGTTTTCTATTGTTTTTTTCAATTTGGTAACGAATTTAGATGTAAGTCTCAGGCAAATGTTCTTTATTTTATTGTTCTTCATAACCTTTTTTTTTTTCGGAATTTTTTAAGGGTTTTTTTTTTTTTTTTTTTTTCCCGCGTGGAATTGAACTCTGCGTTCGGTCCTGTTCATTGAACGCGCATGCATTCCGTTCAATTCCTGAAAGGAAAACCCACGTTCAATGAACGCGCGGTTTCATAGACTCCTCGTGGTCATCCACCATGATGGGTGGAGGGCGCTCGTATGGTCATCCAGTGAAACTCTCAGACGGTCTGCGGTAAGGACGCAGTATCGAGACGTGGTAGACATCGTGCACACGAGCCTGGCGTAGGTAGTCGGGCAGCTTCACATGGAAGTTGACCGGGCTAGATGCCGTATCAGAACCGACGGCCTGGAGGATGCGGCATAGGTCAAAGAAGCGACGTCGAAACTTGCAAAGCGTGTCCGCTTCGAGCTGTAAGTGGCGGGCGTCGATAATCATGTCATCACCGACTTTGAATGAATAATCCATCCTCGATCGGTTCGCACGAGATGCCATGCGAGTCTGGGAAGCGGTTATGTGCCCATGTGCGGTCTTCATGATCGACGTCATGAGTGCAACCCAATCATCCAGTGCGGGAGAACTCGTGTCGGGGTGCATCTGTGACGGTTGAAGGAAGTCCGCGGGAACAGGAGGGTGATAGCCGAGGTCGCAATAATAAGGCAACATTCCCGTGGCTGGCGAGACGGGGTGGTTGTAGGCTATCTCCGCGTGGGCAAGATGAAGGTCCCACTGCTGGTCGTCACGAACAATCTTATCTCTGAGAGTCCTGTTCGTGATCTCGGTTGACCATCTGTTTGAGGATGGTAAGACGAGGAGAAGCGGAGCTGAGTGCCATATACCTCGTGGAGCCGTCGCCAGAATCGGCTGGTAAAGCACGGGTCACGGTCAGATATGATGCTCAGAGGTAAGCCATGGTCACACACGACTCGATCAAACACGATGTCGGCGAACTCACGTGCACTGATGGCATAGCGGCACGGAACAAAGCGTGCACGCTTCGTGAAGCGCTCAACGATGACCAGGATAGCATCATGACCGCGGGGGGTCAGAGGTCGAAGAGGACCGATAAAGTCCATCGAGATGGACTGCCAACGACCCTCAGGGATAGGAAGAGGCTGGAGCAAACCATAAGGCAGGTGGTTGGCACTGTTCACCTCCTGACAGGTGGGACACTCTGCGACGTAGTCCTTCACAAAGTCCTTGCGCTTCAGCCAGACGTACAGGCGGCTTACACGAGCCAACGTCTTGTGGAAGCCCATGTGACCGGCGGCTGCCTGGTCATGGAACTCTGCTACTGCTCGGACACGGAGCTTTCCAGTGCACGGAACACAAATACGGGGCTCTCTCGTGCCCTGTGAGTCGTGCCAGTACACGAGACCGTTGTTCCCGAGAGAGTAGTTCAGGACGACCTTGCCACTCCGAAGGGTCGCGTAGATGTCGCGATAGTTGGGGCAGTGGCGCTACTGAGTGCGGAACTCGTCGATCATCAAGTGGTGAACGGTGGTGACCGAGATGGAAGAGAGTTGGATCTGCTCCTGATCGTGGTCAGGGCGCCGGGATAAGGCATCTTCGACCCGATTAGTCTCACCCTTTATGTGCTCAGTGGTGAAACTAAACTCGGATAGGTCGCGCCACCAGCGAGCCTGTGGAGGAGTGAGCTTCGGTTTTGTCAGAAAAGTCTGGACAACAGAGTTGTCCGTACGCACTGTGAACGGTGCCCCGTGCAGGTAGTGACGCCAGTGCCGAGCGGCATAAACTACTGCGAGAACCTTACGTTCATCAGCAGTGTAGTTTATCTCGGTGGGCAGGAGCTTACGGGAGTAGAAGGCTATTGGACAATCACCTGGGCGAGACTCGATAGTGCCGTCCTCGGCTATGCTAGGATATTGTCAATAGAAGGCTCGTCAGTAGCTGGACGAGTAGGCGTCAGTCGGGAAGCAATGCTAGGGGTAGGTGGTGGGAAGCGAGGGATACAAGGATGAGAGGAATCAGGAGAGGGAGGAAGACCTGAGAAAGTACTGCTCCTACAGCAAAGTCTGACGCATCGGTGGTAAGGGTAAAAGGGCGGTCAAAATCGGGTAGGTGAAGACAAGTGTGCATGTCACCGCCTTCTTGAGGGCGCGGAAAGCGTCCTCGTGGAGGGATATCCAAGCCAAGGGTGGGTTCTTCCGGAGGAGGGTGGAGGTAAGGACATAGAAATACCTAGCGTATCCCCGGATGAAGTTACTATACTAGCTGGTCAGGCCTAGGAAGCTGCAAAGCTGTTTGGCGGATGTGGGAGCGGGCCAATCCGCAATAGCAGTGATCTTTGCGTCGTCCATATGGAGACCCTGGTCAGACACGTAGTGTCCTAGGAAATCCACTTTGTGCTGGGCAAAGCGGCACTTGCTCAGCTTGGCGTAGAAGCCATGTCTGCGCAAGCGGTCAAGGACGTCGCGTAGGTGTCTGAGGTGATCCTTAAGGGTACGACTGTAAACTAGGATATCGCCAAGGTTGACGAGAACATATTGCTCCAAGATGTCCCTGAAGATGTCGTTCATCGCCCTCCGGAAGGTGGCGGGTGCATTGGTGAGGCCAAATGGCATCACCGTAAACTCGTAGTGGCCGAAGCGCGATCGGAACGCTGTCTTCGGCCGGTTGGTTGCAGCGACGCGGATCTCATGGTAACCGCTACGAAGATCAATCTTCGTAAAAAAGCGGTTGGCTGCTAGGTGGTCAAACAGCTCGTCGGAATGAGGCATGGGGTAGTTGTTCTTAACTGTGTAGCGGTTGAGGCCGCGGTAGTCAATGCAGAGACGGAGAGTTCCATCCGCTTTGCGAGCAAAGAGGACGGGTGCACCCAACGGGGAGTTGCTGGGTTTAATAAAACCCGGTCTCAGGAGCTCCTCAAGCTGACGCTTGAGTTCAGTGGCCTCGGGGATCGAGAGTCTGTAGGGTGCTTGGTGGTGAACACGATAGTCAGGCATAAGCTGAATGGAGTGCTCGACGTCACGCTTCGGTGGGATGTTGGCGTACGAGAACAACGATGGGAAAACGTCGTGATACTCTCGGATGAGGTCACAAACTGCGGGCTCCAGGTTAGCCATATATCGTGCGAGTTCCTCAGCGTCAGCGTTAGCGCGTGACGGCGGGGTGGACTCGACGGACGGCGGAGGGACGCAAGTAGAGATGGGAGCCATGGAGATAGAAGGAGGATCTGGCTCCAGAGCAATGAGCTCGGCGTCGGGACAGGGTGGATCATAGTGTAAGAGATCTGTCACGTCCACCATAAAGAAGGTGACGTCGTCCTGTCGGATAAAGTGGGCGAACTGGCAAGGCGAGGTGACACTGATGGAAGGAGATGGTGTGGGCACGAAAGGCTCCGGGGGAGGAGGATCGGGGCGTGGTGTCGCGGTGGTACCTATGAAAGGTACGCGATTTGTCTGTCCACACTTCGTTTTGAGAATGAGAGTGTTGGTCGCCCAATCGGTATCGGTGCTGCGGAACCGACGAGACCACGGAGTGCCGAGAATGAAGTCGTACCCCGTCTCCATCAAATCGAAATGTGCAGAGGAGCGGTGGCGACGAGACGCCGGGGAATGATCAGTCGGCTTGAGAGTGAGGAAGAAAGGGAGGTCGGTGACCGTCTGATCGAAAAAGCGCTGGGTCTTGTTATCCCTAAGGCTGACAGAGATGGAAGACGGAGACCCGGTCGTAGGTAAGCGAGCTTCTTTCACCACACGGGGGTGAATGAAGTCGACCTGAGAACCGGAATCCCACAACGCTGAGTACACCCTCGTGGAGGTCCCTAATCGTACTGGGATGATCGGGAGGGTGCGATCAGGGTCAGAGAGGATGGTGAGAAGGCGACGCAGGGCAGCGTTATTGAGGGTGAGTCGCTCTCGATGAGCTTGGAGCATGCTTAAGTCCAGAAGGGGAAGGAGGGGAGACGGTGGTCTGCGGAGGCGCAGACGGTACTGCGACAGAGGGATGAGTATACTCTGTCGAGTCCTGCGATACCTCATCTCCAGTAGCGAGAGGGGCGAACCGCGACAGAGATGTCGGGAAGCCCACTACTGAGGAGGGCGCAGGTGTACACTGCACAGTGGCTAGGAGGCGCCGCGGGGATGGGAGGCGCCGAGGGGGGACTGAGCACGACGCTGACGGGAAAGGTCAGCGTAGTGGCGGTCGAGGGCGGTGGTATAAGGGCACTGCGAGGAGGTATGACCGTCCAAGCGGCAACGCAAACATCCACACCGACCCAAAATAGTCACACGCTCCTCAGCAGGAAGGACACCGCGAGGAGGGACAAAACCCTGAAGGAGGTCCTCCTGAGGGACCTCGGGGGGCGACGCGTCAGCGTGACCAGAGCGGCTGCGTGCCCAGGAAAGGGTGGAGAGGATGAGCTGGAGGCGCTCAGCCATAGGGAGAGTGGGGTCCTCCAGGTGGTGGTGGACGGTCTCGTCGAGGTCGAGATTGGCGCTATGGTAACCCTCTGGTGACAGCGGGGTAGCAGCGTCTTGCGCCCCATACTCGAGCGCGCTGAAGCGGCGTGAAAAGTGGCAGCCTTGCTGCGTGGGACGGCGGGGGCGACCGCGGAAAGGGGAACGGCGCTGGGAAGTGCCGTGAGAGGAGGAGGAGGCGTAACCCGTGCGCTGAGGCTGGGAGGAGGAGGCAGGGTGAAGACGGGCTTGCATCCGCTCATGGTTCCTGGCGGCCTCGTAAGCCTGCGGGGCCGATGTGAACTTGTACCGCCATAGCTCGGAGCGGTACTCGAGCGGGAGGCTGGCCAAGAAACGATCGATAAGGGCAGCCTCAGGAAGGAACGCCACGTCACAAACGAGGCGGGCGTCCTGAAAGACCTGGATGTGGCGATCCACGCCGGCAGCGCCACCAGAGTCGGACCAGCGTGTAGTGACGACACGCTCGAAGGCGTCAGTCATGTCATATCGGGTTCCGATCGATCCTCGAGGAACACCTGGAAATCCATGAAGGTCGGAGTCCGACCCTCACGCAGGGAGTAAGCATAGAAATTCTCCCAGGTGTCGAAAGGACCACCACGCAGGCGCGTGGAGAGGTGACCCACCCACGTGTCGGGTGTGGCGCCCATGAGCTGGAGCGTGCGAGTGACAGACTGCAGCCACCTAGACACACGTATGCCTGTACCATCATACAAGGGAATGTCCGACAAGCGGATGAGTGGTGCGCCACCGTTTTGGCAGCGAGGGGAACGGGGAGCAGGGGACTGCGCTACGGCGGAATAAGTCGGTGCAGGTCTTGGAGGAGGAGGCGCAGTTGACTGTACGCCCGGGCCGCATGGTGGAGCGGCGGGGGAAACAGCGGCAGGCTGCACGGGAGCGACGGTAGAAGAGGTCGCAGCAACCGAGGGGATGGGGAGGAGGTAGGATGGAGATGGGTAGGGTGCATGGCGAGGGAAGCGAGCCTACACGGAAGGAAGAATAGAGGAAGACGGGGTGCGCCGGAAGGCGCGGCCACCTGTGAGGGTGGTGGTGGCTGAAGGCGTGAGAGGGCGAGGTCGGTCCGGAGCTAGGTGATCTCGTCCTCGAGACCTCGAACGTAGGTCGAGCGAGGTGTGGCAGGGGGAGACGCACGAGCGGTGCGAGGCATCCCACAAGGGGTAGTGCCAGGTGGCGCTGCGGTCGTGCGAAGAGGAGGGAGAAGTGGGGCACCCGGGAAAGTTGCGACCATGGTAGCGGGTTGTGGTACCGTGGCCGTTGTGACCGAGGTCTGGGCGGGCGCGCCCGTAGACTGAGGGAGGACCTGACTCATGGAGGTCGTCGTGCTAGGGGAGTGGACGGTCACCAAGATGGTCGGGTCGAGGGCGGCGGAGGAGGAAGCTCCGCCGTGGCCACCCTGTCGGAGGACGGGGGACCCAGACTGGGAGCCAGGAGATGGGGGACACGCAGCATCCTAGAGTTGCTGCACGCCCGCGATAAGGGTCACCACCTACATCTATAAGGGCCCGAGGGTCGCGAGTTCCGCCTGGATGGGCGCAAGGGTCGCGAGTTGCACCTAGATGGGTGCAAGGAGGGAGGTGAGGAGGGTGTGCAGATCCCCTTGGGACTGGTGGCCCTGGTCCATCAGCCTGGTTGTGGAAGCCTGTGCCGTGGTCGTCGCCGTGTCGGCGCTGTGTGACGCGCCGTCGGCCATGGGAAGGTGATGGGCCGGACTAGAGGGGGCCAGGAGAGGTCCGCGTGAGCGGAGGGCGTAGGGGGGAGTCCGCGGTAGGAAGCGGCGGACGGCGCTAGCAAGGCTAGCGCGGGCGCCGTCAAAAGGGGAGGGGTGGTTCGGGTCCAGGATTACCGAAGAGGAAGGGGAAGTGGGGGGGGTTTAAGAACCCTAAGCCCTAGAAAAACCCTAAGAAAACCCTAACCGAAGTTTAAGTGGTTAGGGTAGGGTACCGGTGACCTAATCAAAAAAAAATAATAGCAAGCATAGGGGAGGGGAGGCAGGAGATAAATAAATAAAAAGCGAGATTTTAAGAGGAAAAAAAAATAATAATAATAATAAAAATAATTAAGAGAAGAAGTAAACAAAATGTGAAAAGAAAATTAATATTTATTTTTTTGAAATTTTCRGCAGCATTTCCCTACCCCCCATGGGGTCAAGAATGTGCCAAGGGAAAAGGAGAGATCAAGGGGAGCACACTAGGTTTCAAGATGCCACAAATAAAAAAAAGAAATTTCAGAAAATAAATATAAAAATAAATAAATAAATAAATAAAAAAGTAAATAAGTGGATGAGGAGGTGGGGAGAAATGGATTAGCTGATTTTTCAAAAATTTTGGCAGCATTTCGTTACCCCCATGGGGTCGAAGTGTGCCGAAGAGACTAAGTAAGAGAAAATCAGAAAATTTCGGCAGCACTTCGTTACCCCCACGGTGTCAAAACGTGTGCCGAAAGCAAGGGAGACTAACACCTAATGACATTTAGGGTTGCCGCCTAGAAATTCAAATTTTCAGGAAAAAAAAAAAAAAATTGAAATAAATCAGAAAATAAGAAAAGAAGGTGGGGGAGAAGATAATTCGAATTTTTGGAAAAAAAAAAAAGATAAATCAAAAGAGAAATAGAAAGAAGAAAAACAGAAAAATTCGAAGTAGGGGAAAAGGAGAATAAAAAAGTGAAGGAGAAAAGAAAGAAATAGGTGGGGAAGAGAAAAAGATGAAGTGGGAGGTGGGGCGATGATGTGGTGGTAGTTGGGGGAGAAAAGGGTTGGGGAAAGGTGGAGAGGGATCAAGACGTAAGAAGAAAAGGAGGAAAGAAAAGAAGAGATGAAGTAAATAGAGTAAAAGAATGGCTGGTGGGAGAAAAGGTGGGGTGGGGGGAGGGGTATGAGTAAGAGGAGAGAGAGAGAGAGGTATGGAGAGTGGGTTAGTAGAGGAAGGGGGGAGAGAGAAAAGATACCTGGCCCTTGGTGTCTCCAAGGGCACAAGGTACACCAAGACCAGGAGGGTCTTGACCTTCGCTGCAGCAGCCAGCTGGAGGAGGGAGGGGGGCTGAGATCTTAATCAGCCCTCACTGCAAATCTGCAGATCTAGGGTATGTTGTATGAGCATACCCTCACCAGTGTAGAGCAGCCCCTAAAACACAGGGGGTCTTCAAGTCCATAGCAAAGTGCCACGTGGCACTGCTGGTGGCCACGTGCACAGGCAGCAGCAACCACGGGGGAAAGGGGGGGGGGGGGGGGGGGGGGGTAAATAGCCAGCACGGCACCTCTTCAACACGAGTGTGTTTTGCTACAAGGCCATAGACACTCTGTGGCGAGTGTGTTATGAGGCTGCTTACGCACGCGCATAAGCCGCCAGGTCCCTAGGCTCAAACCCCAGCAGCAGCAAAACTCCCAGATCTTAATAATATAAATCCGGGAGCGGGGTAGCGTGGGCGCGTGGCGGGCGCATGCGCGTGCGGCGGCCTTGGCCTTGGCCTTGGCGCTTGCGCGCACGCGCTCCTGATGGCGCCTCCCTTTTTCACCACGTGTCACCTGCAGCAGGCGCCACTTTTTCTCCCTCGTTTTCGCTGCAGATCGCCCGAAAAACACCGAAAAAACCCGCTGTCGGGTTTGTTGTGTTCCAGCTGTGCGGGGTGGTGTGTGGGAGCGGGGACCGTTCCCGCTCCGATACCAATTTAGCGGACCCACCAGGTGTGGTGCTCCGCTAGTGGTAGAGATGGAGATGGAGGAAGAAGGGGGGAGCAAGATGGCACAACGCAGCTCCCCACGCAAGACTCCAACGCACGTACTCCAAAATGTGCAAGTGAAGATGCCCCCTAAAAACAGACAATGGTTGGGGTATACCCCAGTGGACTGATGGACTGGACTAGACTCGCTGGTACCGACAGAGGAACTGGCCTGGACTGGACTGGACTGCCCCCAAATAGAACACAAGCCTGTGAGAACAGGCCAAGGGGTTGGTCTCAAAGGCCAACCAGAGGTCCGCTACACCCTTGTACCCACTGAATAGCCCTCGGGGCCCCATTGAATCCCCGTTGAATAGTACAACGGGCCCTCCCCGTGAATACTGTTCAATGGGGAGGGCGCATTGGGCCTCAGACACGTCACTGGACGCGCGTCGAGTCCCTGGAGCAAAAGAAAACTTTCATCCCGTTGAATCCCCATTGAATCC